CCTGTCCCCCGGAGCCCCGGGCCGGCCGGACCAGTTCCACGGCCCGCCGCCACCGCGGCCGCCGCCACAGTGGGGCGGGGCCGTTCCCTGGGAGGGCACCGGGCCCGCCGGCCTCCCAGCGTCCCGCCAACCCCGCCGCCTCAACGGCTTTTTTCCTCTAACTTAGAACGCCTGCCGCAGAGGGGCGCAGCAACTCTCTCGGGGAAGGAAGCCCCCGCAGCTTCCCCCTCCTCAGCCCCCTACCCGCTCCCCCCCCCCCACCCCCACCCCCCACCTTACTCGCTACTTTCGGATCGGGGCCACACGCTCGGCACTCCCCCTGATGGTGGAACTTGTCCCTGCAGCTCCCTCTGTCCCTCCCTAGGGCCCTAAGGGCTGAGAGAGGGAGGGCCGCAGACCCCAAAGACAAGTGATGAAGACTTTCTCCTCTTCTTGGCCATACTACAAGGAGACCTGTGGCTAGCCAGAAACGGATTCCTATCCTCTTCATCCCTAAGTAGGATAAAGGGGTGGCGCGGGGCGGGGGAGGGGCTTTTTACCTGGTGAAGTCCTCCTCAGCCAGCATGTGCCTTGGGATAGGAGAGTAGCGGGCAGGGGGAACCTGAGGAGGAGCAGGGTAGCTGACCTTGCTCTCCACAGCCCCAAGATAACCCAGGCTGGAATTATGGCTTATGTGGTTGTCAGCCAAGGCAGTAAAAGCTGGAATCAAGAAAAGGAGCGAAAAGTTCAGAGACCACTCCATGTAGGTCCCTACCCCACCCCCGCCAAGGACTGGGGCCCCACACCCCACCTCAGATGCAAAAGCCACCAAGGGATGCTGATTCCTCAGGCCTCTCCTCCCCTCTCCCCCCCCCCACCCCCGGGTTCCTCCTCCACAGTCCCTTTCTGAATCCTGGGCTCACTCCTGTGAGTCTTAGAAAGAGCTAAAGTCAAGCAGTCTACAAAGAAAGGCATGACTAGAGGTGTGACTAATAATAATCCCTCACATCTCTATAGCCTAATACGGTTTTCCAAGGGCTTTCTCGTCCATGATCTCATTTGATCCTTGCAGCAGTCCTATGAGGAAGGCAGCCCATATATCATTAGCTCCGTTTTGCCGAAGAGGAAGCTAAAGACAGGTGAAAGGGACTCGTCCAAGGGCACCCAGCTCTAAGGAACGGAGCTGGGCTCCGGACTCAGTTCTCCTGAGCACTAGCGTGCGCGCTCTCACTCTCTCTCCCTCTCTGAACAGGGGGGTTGAATTCCTTCCCCTCCGGAAACAGGGGGGCAGGGGCTTCAGGCCAGGGGCAGGGTGGACTGGTACGTACTGCTGGCGTAGTCAGGGGGTGCATACATGTCGTTGAGGTGGAGGCTGCCTGGCTTGGCCACCTTCAGATAGACCATGTCAGATGTGTTCTTCAGTGAAGCCACAGCTTCCTCGTGCCTCACATCCTGCAGATTGGTGTTGTTCACCTAGAAGAGGAGAGGCCTTCTTAGGGCTGGCACTGGGGAGAAGGGAGGGCCTCTCCGGGGAACCCCAAAGGTGCCCTTCCAGTGAAATTCAACAGGGCTCTCTCTAACGGAGACCCAGGGTAGTGCTGTGAGAAGTGGAGAAGCATTAAGACAGCAGGGCAGAAGGGAACAGCCTTACTCCTTGCCTGACACCCCAGGCTGAGGGAGCCCTAGCCATGAAAAGAACGAGGCCCTTGGTATCTGAGTGCACACAACTCAGATGGTGATGATGCTCTTGAAACCCGCCGCCCCCCTGACAATGCTGGCGGCTCCTGAATGAGGTTCAGGTGGAATGAGAGCCTACTAGCGCCCCACCTCCCCACCCTACCCTACCATTTGGGCATCCCCAAAGGCTGTCTCACCGCCAGCAGCCGGTCCCCGATCTGCAGGCGTCCGTCCTTCTGAGCAGCACCCCCCTCAATGATCTTGGTGATATAGATGCTGTTGTCTCCTGGGATGTGCTGGTTGCCAATCCCCCCGGCAATGCTGAAACCCAGGCCTGGGTGGGGGCCCGAAGGGAGCAGGAGAGAGCCACAAGGAGAAGTTAGAGTGCTCAGTCAATCCCAGACCCAACTCCCCACCGCAGCCAACCCACTGGCCCCATGGGAGCACCCCTCACCACCACCACCCACGGTGGTGGGGGGGGAGCCCAGACACTAGGCTGCCATCCCTAGGTCAGTAAGGGGGAGTGAGATGGGAGGTCAAGAAAGAAGGCTGGGAGCTAGAGCGGGGCGTCAGGCAAGGAGTAAGGCTGTTCCCTTCCATGTCCTATGGAGCCAACCAGGGGCCTCTGGGCAGAGCACAGGAGCCCAGAGGGCCGCACCTTTGGGCCCTTTGAGCAGGTTGACCTCCATGATGGTCTCGGGCGGGGGCTGTCTCCTCCGCACCACCAACCGCACCACAGGGCCCGCCTCCTTCAGCGCCTCCACGGCCCGGCTGTGCACCACCTCCGACACGTCCACCTCATTCACCCTCAGCACACAGTCATTCACCCTGCGGAGGAAGCCCCGGAGGCATGACACCCTGCCACCGCCCCTCCACCCCCTCTCCCACCTCTTCTTCCTCCCCTCCCCGCCCCTCCCCTGCCCCCTCTGAGATCTAATAAAAGGGTCATCCTGCCGGGGCAGCCCTCTTCCCCTCATGGCCATCCCGCCCCTGCCACCCCCAGCCCAGCTTTCAGGCCACCTCACCCCAGCCTCCCGTCCATGGCAGCTGCTCCACCAGGGATGATCTTGGTAATAAAGATGCCAGGGTCATCGGGGACATGGGGGTTGTCGATGCCACCTGCAATGCTGAAGCCCAGGCCGGAATTGCCCTGCAGAAGGGGGGGCAGAGGGGCACAGCCCGCTCACTCAGAGGGCATGAGGGAGGGTTCTGGATCTCCCCACTTCCCCCCACCCCCCAGAGGCAGGTCCTCCAGGCCTCAGAAGGGGCCACGGCAGGCCGGCACACAGCTTCCCAGCCTGTGCCGACCGACCGTTCTAGCATAGAGGCCTCAGCAAAGCCATCCCTTCCCCAATTCCCCAGGCCTCAGCGAGCAAGGTCAATTAATATCTGTTAGTTAGTTGATTGACTGATGCAGTACGTGGCCTCCAAGAGCCACTGTTCCCCCCCACCCAGTCCTCTCAATCAGGTGCCCCCCCCACGAGTCTTGAGACTGAGGTCCTGGGCCCTTCCCTTTCCTGGTCTGAACCCTCTCCTCCCCTTTCCTCCCGACCCACTGGCAAACTCACCCGCTCAAGTACTATTTCCTCATACTTGAACATGCCATCGCTGCCGTTCACCTAGGGGAAGACACAGGCACTTCCCTGAGTGCTTCCTGCCCTCTCCCCCACCCCCACCCATCTGCCCCCGATCAACCCGCTCCTCCCCCACCCCCCAAAGAGTAGCAGCCCGAATTGACGCCAGGACACCTCTTGGCCACAAATGGGGACAGGCTGACCCTGAGGAGGCCACACCCCTCCCTCGCTTCCAGCCATATCGGGCCGACCCCATTTAGCCCAGATCAATTGTCTGGGACTGAGCCAGCCAGTGGTGCACTCACTGAGAGGCTGGGCTCCAGGGCTTCGGGGTTCTCTTAGGAGGGGTGCAGCGCTGGCCTAAGGGGGATGGTGGAAATGGAACATGGTGGGCAAACCACACCACACCTAGCATCCATGGGGGCACACCCAGTGGCCCCGATGGGGACCTATTCCCCTCCTGAACCGTAGCTCACCCTGACTTAGGGATCACAGACTCCCACCATGTCAGGACTGGTAGGACAGCAGACACCATCTTGTCCAACCGCCCTCATGTGACAGACGGTGTGACACTGAGGCCCAGAGAGGTCTCCAGGTGCTGTTTTGATTAAATCAAGCTGCCAAGGCCACGGGTGTTTTGGCCACTCACCGCCTTCCCCAGCAGACCTCATGAGAAAAGGAAAGGCGCACCCTTCAGAATACCCCCAGGAACCCTCCCCTCCATATCTCCTCTGTGTCCCCAGGAACCTGACTCTTCAAACGGGCGGAAGGAGTCAAAGTCCGAATCCATTTTCTACCAAGGGGCTTTTGATCCTCCACTCTTTGTGTTTCCCAGCAGAAAAAGCCGGGGTAGGATCTGGGTGGGAGTCAGAGGCAAAGCCAGGGGCGGGATGGAAGCGGAGTGGACAAGGTTCCCCAGAAGGGAGAAGCTCATAACCCGTGGCCTGACTGGCAGCAGAGTCCCTGGCCTTCAGTATACAGCAGCCAAGGGAGGAGAGGCAAGGGAAGGGGATGGAAGCAAGCATTGTTCTGAGCAACCCACAGAACTGGCCTCCCAGACAAGACATACTTGTGGCCATTGTCAAGTGAAAATGTGAGTGTGGGCAGACAAGTAGTCCCTGCTCCCTGGCTCCCACTCTTATCCCCAAGAATGGAGGAACTCCCTTGCCTCTCTCCCCAGGTATCCCAGCCCCCCTCCTCCATCTTTCTCTGGCTGCGTTGCCCCTTTCCTGACCCCTGGTGTCCTCCTCTGAAGGGAGCTGCAAACCTAGGGTGGGGGCTCCTTCACATGCCCTGCTCTACTCCCCCCCCCCCACTCCACTGCAGCTTTGGCTTGGAGAAACAGAGAGGGCAGGCGGGTTGGGGCGGGGGGCGGGCTGGCGAGTCATGCCTCCACCTTGTCAGGGCCTGACCCCAGGACTTTATGCCCCGCAGCCCCGGGAGTTGGTGGGAGGACCCCGGCTGCAGCCACCCGACGGCTTTTCAGAGCCCCGAAACCAAAACAGCTGCCTGAAGTAACATGCAACAGACACGGAGGCAAAAGGACACCCATGCATCTCTCTACGCATCTGGTGTACCATGTGTGCCCACATGTGATAAGTAAGCCATGCTTCCAGCCCAGCTCCAGCGAGAACCAGAGGCTCCAGCCTCCCACTGCCCCGCTCAGGGACCCTGCTCCCTGGACCGGGGGCCATCTGGGGCTCAGCCCTGGCAAAGAAACCTTGACCAGCTGGCCCAGCCTTGGGACTGGTACCTGTCTGCCAGTTGAGCAGGATAAGCCTGAGAGAGTGTTTGCAAGGGTAGGGCCCCAGGATACGGGGTGGGGGGGGGGGAAGGAAAGATGGGGACTCACTGGAGAGGGCAAGGAGCCAAGGCAAGGGCCATGGGGAGCAGAGAGTGTGGACAGACAGAAGGCCAGAACTGAGAACTCTTCTCCCTAGGAAGTCCCCACCTTTGCTTCTGAGTGAGAGCACATTCTATCCCCAGAGGAGGACAGAGGCGGCCAGAACGGTCACCAGCTTGGGGCAGGCAGCACCTGCCCTCGACAGCAAAGCCTCTTTCTCCTCTTTCCCTAACCTGGGGGCTGCAGAGCCAAATAAGCAGACAGGCCCTCCGCTATGCATGCCAAGGACCTGGCTCTGCCGGCCCAGCCTCCATTTTGCTGCTTCTCCCACAGATGCTCCTTCCATTTTCTAAGCTGGCAGCTTAGACTGGGAGTAGAATCCGGAGTTGTGCCCAGCACCCAGGGGTTCCCAAGCTGTGCCAAGTCAGGGCTCGGGGGCCAAGTTCTCTCACATCTGGAGGTACCCAAGGGGGACATGCCCCACTGGGGCCAGTCCTGCACCAGGGCAGCTGCCCCTTGCTTGGCTCCAGGCACCATGCCTGCTCTAGAGCAATGAAGCTTGCTTCTGTCCCCCCACCCCCTGCATTTGGGCACCCCCCCCCCAGAACACACACACTTCAGAGCTGCTGGGACAAAAGAGTCCGTCCTTCTCACCAGCCTCTCAGCCTTGCTTGGGACGTGTCTCTTGCCTCCTCCCCCTCCCCTCCCTTGCCTGTCAAGCGCCTCTCACCAGGGACAACACACACACACACACACACACACACACACACAGGCACACGCATGCACACACTTGAGCCACATGCTCACACACATATACATGTAGCCACACACGCAGGCAAACACAGCTATCCCTGCAGCCTCATCTACAGAGACACCTCCACATTCTGAGAGACATCCCCACATGTCCATGTGCACATTCACACACAAAGGGACTGGGACGGAAAGGGACTCATGGCATTGAGAGATGAAGCTCCACCAGCCGGGCACATGGGCCCCCTCGACATAGATTCATAGGAGCTCCATTGCCTCCCTCCACACACCTTAACATACATACACACATATGTCCCCCCTACGCAGAGCACCATGCCCCCTCCTCCCCTCCTGTGGAGACACACACCACACACAGCCCCCGCAGAACCTCCCGCCCCCCGCCAGACACAGAGACGCTGCTAAACCCCCGCACTGAGACAAACCCAGTTCCCCCCCACAGGAAAATGTGCCCCTCCGCCATACCTTCACCTCCTGACACACACAGCTCCTCCCAATCCCCTCCAAATGGAGACCCCCAAACACACACACACAGGGAAGCATACATTTCCAACCGCCTCTCTTGGCCCAGGTGAAACGCTAGGGCTCAGGTTCTACTGGCTTGAAGCCTCCAGGAACCCCTGCTGCACCCCCAGGCCTCTAGGCCCCCACTCTCCACCCCCCGGGTTGCCCCACCGTCCCCCCCCCCCCCGCCACTGCTGGTCCATACCTGCTCGTACCAGTCCCGGTTGGTACAGGTGCACTCGGGCCACCAGCTGGGGCCACTGCCGTTGAGTTTGGGGGTGCTCTTGCCCGGGACTGGCTTAGGGGGCACTGGCCCCACATCCCGGCCGGTGGGGATGAGCTTGGCCTTGGTACGGGGGGTGGGGGTAGCCCCCGCCTGTGAGGGCAGGGTCTGCGAGCTGTAGCCCCCATAGCCCGCGCTGGCTCCATTGCCCCCACCTGGCCCATAGGGGTCAGGCACCTGCCAGTCCCCATAGCCAGGAGGCTCGAGGCGCCGCAGGGCAGCCAGGCGGGTCACCTCATAGCACTCGGGGCACTTACAGCAGTGCTGGTGCTTGTGCATGGCACTGCCCCCCGCCGCCCGGACCCCCCAGCCCACGCCGGTTTCCACGCCGCCGCCGCCGCCGCCGCCGCCGCCGCCGGGCTCCCGGGCACACTCACACTGCTCGGACCAGGAAGGGGGGGGCACCCGTGGGGGCGCTCGGGCGGAGCGGGGCCTGGGGCCGGGCGGGCGTCCCGGGGCTTCTGCCCCCACGCTGCCCCGCACCCACGGCTCCCCCTCCAGCACTGGCGGCTCCGTGTCGCCCGTCGTGGCTCCTGGGCCGAGGCCCAGCGGCAAAGAAGAAGCGGGAGCCTGGGCAGAGGCTGGGCGCTGGGAGGACCGCTCCTGCACTGGTCCCCAGGATGGATCTGAGTGGAGTCAAGAGCATCTCTCCCTGGCTCCCTTCTCAGTTGATTCCAGCCAATCAGCGTGCAGAGTCAGGCAGCGGCAGCGGCAGCGGCAGGAATGCTAAACAGCGGCTCCTTAAAGGAACAGAGGCAGTGGCGCCCCCAGGCTCAGCCCCAGCTCCCCAGATATCTGGGGTACCGCCGACCCTAAAGCGGGGACGGGGGATTTGGGCCACGGGGGAGCTCGGCCCCCGATCTAGTGCCCCCACATCTCCAATTTCAGCCCGTCCTCCGCCCACTCCACCCCACCCCACTTCCAAGAGGGAGTTGCAGGGAGATGCTCAATGGGTCCCTGGGCTTGCTCTGAGCTGGGGCTAGCAGAAGTAAAGACTTGAAGCAGCAGAACGGACCAAAGGGACGTTGGAGCAGGGCAGGGAAGGTGATCTTTCTTAACGGGGGACCGAGGAAGAGGGCAGCATATGTGGCTACTCTCCTGGCAGTGCCTCCACCTCGGGACTATTGTTCTCTCAACCTCTAGGCCTGAAATGACCGCAATCTCACACTTGACCCGCTTCCATCACTAGTGAGGGACTCGAGCCTAGAACAGGAGGAAAGGAGAGCTCTAAGCTCTTGTCCCTGGCCCACAGGCTCCTGTCTCCTTCGCCCTACTCCCGCATGGTTATGATGGGAGGAAGAACTTCAGGCTGCCAAGAGGAAAGAGAGTCCAGGGCGGAAGGAAAGGGAAGAAGAGATCTGAAGTGAGAGAAACCATTCCAGGGGACCCGGAGAAGAACTTGGGAATACTTGTCCAAGGACGTCTCCTTAGCCTCCCCGGCTCAGCCGGTTGAGGGACGGAGGCAGGATGACATGCAGGGAAGACCATCTTTTTTGCCGTTCTTGTGTTGTCCTTAGCTACCAATTGTCGAGTCTTTAAGTGCTCTACGTGCAAACAAAACCCCTACCAAGATGCTACTATGCTTATTTTAATTTTACCAATTGAGAAATCGAGGCTCGGAGATGTTAACACAGCTGGAAGTGACGGAATTAGGATGCAGATCCTGGCTATTTGATTCAAGCACCCATGCTCTGAACCACCCTGGTACAACAGGTCTATTCTAAGTTCTCCTGTAGAATGTAGATCTCAGTTCAATTCAACAAACGTTCGTTGCACACCTACTCTATGCAAGACCTCGATCTAGGTCCCAGGGATACGGAAATTCGTTCTTTTTTTTTTTTTTTTTAAGATTTTATTTATTTATTTGACAGAGAGAGAGAACACGAGAGAGGGAACACAAGCAGGGGGAGTGGGAGATGGAGAAGCAGACTCCCCGCTGAGCAGGGAGCCCGAAGCCAGATGCCGGGCTCAATCCCAGGACCCTGGGATCATCACCTGAGCCGAAGGCAGACACTTAACGGACTGAGCCACGCAGGTGCCCCCGGAAATCCATTCTTAACAAACATTCATCTAGCACTTGCTGTGTGCAGACACTGTTCTAGGATTTGGGGATATAGCAACAAACAGAACAACATTTTATCAGGTTGAGGGAAGTATGGAAACCTCACCTCCTTTTAAATATCTTTACCATGTCCCATTTGTAGTATAGTATTTTATGGTGCTGTGGGGAAAGAGAGAAAAGTCGATCAGAGAAGAGGGTGTTGGGGGAGGGGGGAAGACCCCGGGTTGTGATCATCTTTCAAGTTTTTTACCACTACATTTTAATACGAAAATTTTCTTTTTTTTTTTTTTAAGATTTTATTTATTTATTTATTTGACAGAGAGAGAGACAGCGAGAGAGGAAATACAAGCAGGGGGAGTGGGAGAGGGAGAAGCAGGCTCCCCACTGGGCAGAGAGCCCGACGTGGGGCTCGATCCCAGGACCCCTGGATCATGACCTGAGCCAAAGTCAGATGTTTAACAACTGAGCCACCCAGGCGCCCCCAATACGAAAACTTTCAAATGTAGGGAAAATTGAAAAAATGTTGTAGGGAACTAAGGCTATCTGGATGCTCATTAACATTTTGCTACACTTGCTTTATCATGTATCTCTCCTCCACGTATTCTCTCCAAATTTTTTTTAAATGAAAATTCACAAACATACAGAAATGGTGACAGAATAGTACAATGAGCATCTATCTATCTTTCTCAGAGACTCAGCAACTGGTATTGTCTTGTTATATTTGCTCTCTTGATCTATCATGTAGCTACATTGTTTTCTGAACCATTCGAATGTAAGTTACAGATTTCATCACACTTCTCCCCTAATTTTTTTTGTTTTTTTGCTTTTAAGATTTTATTTATTTATTTGACAGAGGGAGAGAGGCAGCGAGAGAGGGAACACAAGCAGGGGGAGTGGGAGAGGGAGAGGCAGGCTTCCCGCCGAGCAGACAGCCCAATGCAGGGAGCCAAAGGCAGATGCTTAACGACTGAGCCACCCAGGAGCCCCCACACTTCTCCCCTAATACTTCAGCATACATCTTGTATTCTCCTGCATGACCACAATATTATTATGACGTCTAAGAAAATTAACAATAATTTCGTATCATCCGATGGCATCTGATGTCTAGTCCATATTCAAATTTCTCCAAATTTACCTTTTATGTTTTTAACATCAGAATCTAATCAAGTCTCCCCCATCGCCTTTGTGTCTTTAACCACTTTTAGACTAGAACAGCCCCAATCTTTAAAAAAAAACAACTTTTTATTTTGAAATAATTATAGATTTACAAGGAAGTTGCATAGTACAGAGAGGGCCCATGTACCCTTCACCTAGTTTCCCTCAAAGATTACATCTTACATAATTGTAGTACAATATCAAAACTAGGAAATTGACATTGGTACAATGCGGGTATAATTCTGTGCCATTTTACCACATGTGGAGATTCCTGTAACAACTGTTGCAACAAAGATACAGAATTATTTTGTCACCACAGAGATCCACCTGTCAGCATTTTATCAGGTTGAGGGAAGTATAGAAACCTCACCTCCCTTTAAATACCTTTACCGTGTCCCATTTATAGTATAGTATTATACGGTTGTCTTAAATATTTCCTCCACATATATTGAGCTCCACATCAGACAATGTTATTGCTTCAGGTATCAAACATAATTCAGACACCTTAAGGGAAGGAAAGTCTATTGCATGTACTTCTATTTTTACTCATTCAATTCTTTCTTCTTTCCTGATGTTCCAAGATTTCTTCTTTTATCATTTTCTTTCTGTTTTGAGAACTGCCTTTAACCATAATTTTTAGGGTGGGTCTGCTGGTGATGTAGTCTCCTAGCTTCCCTTTTTCTGAGGGTATCTTGACTTCCCCCATATTTCCAAAAGGTATTTTTACTAGGGGTTGGCAGTTCTTTTCTTTCAACACTTGAGATATGTTGTGCCACCTTCTTCTGGCCTTCATGTTTCTGATGAGAAATCCACCCACATTTGAATTGTTTTTCCTCTGTAGGTAAGGTGTTGTTTCTTTCCTGCTGTTTTCAAGATTTTCTCTGTCTTGTTTTCAAAAGTTTGGTTATGATGTATCTTGGCATGGGTTTCTTTGAGTTTATCCTGTTTGGGTTTTGTTCAGCTTCTTGAATTTGTAAGTTTTACCTTTTGCCAACTTTGGGAAATTTTCAGCCGTTATTCCTTGAGGCCTTTTTCCAGCCTCACCTTTTTTGTCTTCTCATTCTGGGACTCCAGTGATGCGAATGTTAGGTCTTAGGGGATAGTCACTACATGTCTCTGAGGCACTGTTCATTTTTTTAAAAATTCTGTTTTCCCATTGTTGTTCAGATTGGGTAATTTCTTTTTTTTTTTAAGATTTTTTTTTTAAAAAGATTTATCTGAGAAAGAGAGAGAATGAGAGCACGGGGGGAGGGGCAGAGGGAGAATCTCAAGCAGACTCCCCACTGAGCACAGAGACCACCATGGGGCACAATCTCACGACCTCGAGATCATGACCTGAGCCGAAATCAAGAGTCAGATGCTTAACTGACTGAGTCACCCAGGGGCCCCACAGATTGGGTAATTTCTAATGTTCTATTTTCAAGTTCACTGATTCTTTCCTCCATCCTCTCCCTCCTGTTGATAAGCCCATCCACTGAGTTTTTTACTTTGGTTATTGTATTCTTTGATTCTATCTTGATTGTATCTCCTACTTCTTTGCCAAGACTTTTTTTTTTTTAATTTGTTTCAACCTTGTTTGTAATTGCTCACTGAAGCATTTTTTATGTTGGCCGCTTTAGAATCCTTGTCAGATCATTGAAAGCTCTCTGTCATGTTGGTGTTGGCACCTGTGGATTATTTCTCATTCAAGTTGAGGGTGTCCTGGTTCCTGGTATGATGAGTGATTTTTTTTTTTTATCACATCCTACACATTTTTGGATATTATGTTATGAGACTCTGGATCTTACTTAAATCTTGTTTTTGGTAGGCTTCTTCTGATGCTGTTGCCATCAGTGGAAGGAGCCACTGCCTGGTTACTGTCAGGTAGGGACAGAACTTCAAGTTCCCCCAGTGGCATCAGTTGATCCCTGAGGCAGAGGCTCCTCCCTGCTGCTGGGCAGGGGTGGGAGTTCCAACTCCCCACTAGACCTCCACTGATCCTCTCTGACTGGGAGGGGTTGAAGGGCCTCTTTCCTGCTCCCCAGGTGGCTTCCACTGACCATGGGTGGGGGTACAGGTAGGGGCAGAGATGGCAGAACAGTGAACTGGCAGGAGAGGACAGGGAGAGCAGCAGTAAAACCCTGGAGTCTCCACTAGGCCTCCTCTGACACTCTGATATCATCCAGCAGGGATGGGATGCCATGTTTCCCTGTGGGGATGGAAGTCCTGGCTCCCTATTCAGCCTTTCCTGACACCACCTGAGAGACTGTTGGGGGAGCCTGGTGAGAGCAGAAGTCTGGGTTTCTACTTGGCCTTTATTGGCATGGGCGGGGTTGTGGTTCTTTTCTCTGATGTTGGGTTACAGTAGAGTGGTTCTTGTTTAAGAGTTTTCTGTCTGGCTGAGCGGCCCATTTC